TACTTTTAAGCTCTGTGAACCTTAAATAATAACGACTGAATGACAATATTACGACCAGGTATAATTGTCCCGTTTAGCAGTTGAGAGGTGAGAGATTACAGGGAAATCTGGTTTTAGCGAAGTTTGAGATTAGTTAATTCAAGCCTCTGCTACAACGTACAACCAAATATTTCGATGATTTATTCTAGTAGTATAAATAAAGTTACATAATCATATAGCTATTTAATAGTTGATAGTGCGTTCAGAAATTTTCATATTCTTTTCATACTCAGTTGTTAACAGTGATAAAAATTTTTTAATCCATAAAGAATTAATTATTTGTATAGTTCTGCGGATTAGCAGTAATAATATCAAAGTCCTTTTTCTCATAAGCTGGTTGAGCGTTTACATCGTTTCATGGTGTTTGAGTACATGCAGCGCAACCATGTATCGTACGTCTTTTACACTAGCGTGTTGACCAGTAATAATGCTGCAAGAATTGATGCATATACTCCTTATAAGTTTCACCAGCAGCATTAAGATGTGAATTTGTGCTCTGGAAATATGTTAATGAGTTTTAAATCTACTGTGGCTTCACGTTACATGCGCATAAATAGCTTTTTCTGCTTTTCGTAAATAATTTTTTTCTATCACTGTTCTTAAAGAGCTTCGTACCCATTGAGAATAGATTGGGTTCTCAGCATCGAGGATCTCAGACTTCATGTTACATCTTAATGGTTATTATGGCTGTTTGGGAAAATGGACTCAACGACTTGACTTACTATATTTCACTTAACATGTGCGCTTCTAGTCTAGAAGCGAGAGGATGGACTTACGGCTCTTTCGTATGTATCTTAATGTAGAGTTTATTGCACAGTATAATGGCTGAATATTATGTGATGTATTGAACAATTTAAAATTTGAATTGTATGTTTCAGAGACAAGGTCATATGCCTTTTCCATAGCCTGCGCGTTAACCATATGTCACTTTATTTTTGAGTGCCGTTTGCAGTTCGGTTTTATGTTTTTCGGTTTGTAGGAGATATCTGCTTTGAAAAAGAGATTGGTTGACAAAGAAGCTGAATTGCTGCAGGTAGTGAGTTGCTGTTGTGTTGTTTATTGGTGCATCGTATTTCTGATGAAATGTAGCTGACCGGTGGTGGTGGTGATAACGATGATCTGTCGTCTTCCGCTCAATCTGAGCAGTCGGATACGGAATCGAATTCGTCTTTACCGCCGAACTGGAGAACTGCTCGTGACGAAGAGGGCAATGTTTACTACTACCATACGATCACCAAGTGCGCACTCATACAGACAAAGAAGGTTGACGGCATTGATACTAGCGCATTGTTGTTTCAGAGACACACAGTGGGACCCTCCGGTTGCAACACCGCAGTTGGACCAAGATTCGACGACGACCGACTCGAAGACACCTTCAGACCGCGTAAGATGCGTGACGTGGGAGGATGAGGTGCGAAACAGCGCTGCCGAGTTCAATTCCTTAGATACGGATGTAAAAGCTTATAATTTGCTTTTCCTTTGTTCGTCTGTTTTTAGTTCAACACCGTCCATGTTTCTAGAGTCCGTACACTACTGCCTCCGTCACTACCACAGCCCCTGCTGACACAAGTAGCGAGGTGTCGCGCAAGATCAAAGAGAAGTTCAAAAGTCGCATTTCCAATCATGTCATTCGTTGTCTCAATCCTTTCCGTAAACCGGACTGTAAATGCGGCCAGATCACGAACAACGAAGACTTCAAGCATCTGGCTCGGAAGGTACAGCTAACTTGAAATGTTTTTCTCGACACTGCAAACGGTTGATTCACGGTACAGGTTGAGTACCCCTAAACAGAAATTCTGAAATCCGTAGTATTGTTTTAACTCGATTCTCATTCCTGAGTTTTTCGAAATATCTTTGGATAATATGAACGACGGCTGTAATTTCCTTCCCTTCCTACTCCTCAACCATCCATCGGCAGGCGTATCTTCTGATATCCGGCCAAGCAGAAAAGAGTTTTCCTCCGTCCCTAGCGACGGCTGATGGTCAAACATTATCGGATGTTCTCTACGTGCCATTCGTGAGCAGACTTGGTCACTACTCGTTTTATGTACAGGGTCAAAAACAGAGAACACGTCGGGCACCCTATTTTGCGTTCATTTTATCATGAAAGAACCCATTAACTCCTAACTTCCACCTCGTCTTCTTTCCTTCTTTCCCCTTTTTCACCCCTCCCAACCTGTTTGAGCTGTATGAAAATGTCTTTCCATTCTTGATGATCTGCTGCAACGATACCTGGATCGTCTTAGTTTGTGGAATAACTAAGTGAGTTTTTTACTTGTGATTTGTAAGGAGGTGCTACGCCGCTATGCTAAACCTTTGCTTCTTTTCGGATTGCAGAAGCGAATGTCATGCAGTGTCTCCAACCATCCCGATCTTGCCCAAGCACCTGATCTTCATCACAGGAAAGTCTCAGTACGAGCAGAGTTGGCGAGATATTTTACTCAGATCGTTCTCTGCAGTCGGTTGATCAATTAGTAACTAGTTCCGCTTTTTTTGGATGCACTCAATATTGTAATGTGGTTGGCTTAGATAGAATATTATTTTTAGATTCTTGTTTTGCTAAAACAGCTTCACTGTTTTCTACTAGTTTGTGACTTATTTGCTTATCTGGCGTTGTATGGATTGACGTCATTGCACTGTTTCCTTCAGTGTCTCATCACTGTGATGATTCCAATTCCAAACCCTTCTTTTCAGTTTCTAATCACTGCGTGGTCTGAGTGAAGACTAGCAACCCTTATCCGTGATAGACTCTACCTATGAATATTAACTCAATGCTTTAAAATGCATTTGTTGTTCGAAATGTAGTGCAGGTCAGAAATCTGGTGCCGATGCACCAGGTGCTGAATTCCCCCGTCCAACTTTCCTATTATCTCCATACAGTTCTGCGATATCTAGAGTTAAAAAATATGTTTATTTCATGTAGCCTGTGGAATTTTGAAGTGAAACCCTTTGTGTATAAATAATAGACTTAGCCGATCATTTTTTACTGATCATAATGTGATATTTATTTTCAGCTGACCCATGCCATTTTGGAGAAGGAGTTAAAAAATGTGTACAGCATGGAGGATCTGAAGGTTACGGACTCTGTTTTGCGCAAAGCCCGTGATTACATCAGACGTTATATGGTGAAGATCGGTCCCGTGTACAAACGGCTTGTAGGAACCCCTTGAAATTTTGACAACACTGAATAGTCACAGCCTTGTTGCACTACTGAACCACACCCTTGCTTAACTGTGTTATTTTCTGTTAAGTTATGCCAGCTCAAGAGAATGATTTCCGATGCTGAATGGTGTTGACACAGCTGAACAAGAGAAAGCGGACCACAGCAACATAGCGGATTTGTTGACTCACTTTTACTGTTGTTCTTGTGGAGTGAGTTGTATTAAGTACAATCGCCCATTTCGGATTGGATAAAATATGTCAATCTGCTCGACTGATAGGAAATTCAGTGATTCGCTCAATTTGATTCATGAGCAATCGCTCGATCTCCTGTCCCTGTTCAGTTTTATAGATTTTAAGAATATGGTTAGAAGAAAATGGGTACGAAAAGTGACTGGTTACCGGCAATTATGCTTAGGATATAGTACTTTGAGGTACTCTCTACGCATCTGGTGCATGTGACAGCGCGTCGCTCGTCTCGTGGAAGACTATGGTTCGAAGGTGAATCGCACACAGATTCTTGAATATCTTGAACAAGCGCATATTTATTGTAAGATTTGACCTCCTAAACATGCTATTTCATTATTAAGTTAAATAAACTGTTTTGGTGTTATTTCAGGGAATCAGAATATTAATTATGACTGCTCAATACGCTTGAAGTAAACTTGAAGTTTTAAAAAAGGAGTAGAAAAATTTCCTGTTTTAGTGTGCATGACTAGTAATGGTAGTAAACTCGAGTACAGTGTCCTACAAAGATACTTCTTTGATTAACAGATTAGTCATCGCGTCTGTTATATTAAGGCTGAAGTTGACGAAAGCAGAACTATTCAGATGGTTCAACAATTTATTGAATTCTGGTTTCAAGTAACAAATGCATAAAAACGACTGATCAGAAAAAATTTTATGATAAATAATAACCCCGGAGTTCTTGGAAACCTTTCGATACCGTCACTGAAGATATCACATTAAAAATGATACCTGATTAAAGCGACAAAAATGCAGTTTAAAAAATGCTTATGAAAATGAAAAAATGTTTCTCATTTTAGACCACCAACGCTATTGCACCGTCCCCTTGTTTCTAGACGCCTAAGGGGACCATTTAAACAGCCGACGGCTCAGTGATATTTAAGCACCTACAGTGAATATGGCACAGGTCTACGTCTTTAGCGAGTTGAATAAAAGTATGTTCAACCAAGTTTATCATGACCCGTAGCCGGAAAAATAAAATGTTACCGCGATGTTGGGGACATTTAGATACCGCCGCTGAAGATAAATCAATAACGATGATTCCGGATTGAAATAGCGAAAGTGGAGTGTAAAAAAAGAAAAATCTATTTCTCACTACAAAAATGTTTTAAAAAATTTATTCGTATGAACGTTAACATGAGGCTGACATCGTTATAGTGAACTGTCAATAGTTTGAAAAACCAGAAGAGGTTTTTTCATTAAGTAAGAATCCACAGTTTCTGCGTCATGAAGGAATGAACAATTCGGTATGTAACTGTGAAATCATCTGACGGTTGCATGGATTAGTGGTACATTTGACTCACTGATAATGATGCAGCTAATCAGTCCTTACACCCTGTTAGCGTCAAAGGAGTCGGCGCAGCCATTGCAGATTCTGCTTCAGTTGGTTTCGAAGAGAAACAGCTCTAAGATTATAGCTTCGTCATCGCGGCGTAGATTGGCTGTAGCCCACAATACTACTGTTGTTAAAATTGCATTAGTTTCCCAGGACATGTGCAACAGTATCAGATTGATAAGCTATTGGTAACTAATGACTCTAGTGGGCATATAAGGAATAACAGTCTTCGCTTGAGGTACATAAGTGCAGTGCTAAATATTATTTTCAGTGAAATACCGTAAAGATAGTCCTAAAGAAACGATATATGCGATTTTACGGTATTAGAAAATATTATCGTCAAGTAAATTGCAGAAGATTTGAATCAACTGTGTGCGAATTTGGCAGAAACTATCTTTAAATGATGGACGAGGAT